GTAGTTAATGACTGATAAGGCAGCTCCTGCAAAACCTCAAAACTGTTTTGATATATATATATTAATGTATTGCTTGTATGAATTGCATATCTATGTATTGTAAAAGCATTTTGGAGAAGCTTACTTCAGATTAGGGCACTATAGCAAATGCATGGGGGTTTTTGTGTTTTATTTTGAACATATCATCTCAGGATGACAATGAATAGTTGATAAAGATATTAAGACCTGGTTTTGTAATAAATGTCTCAAACAAAACGTGGGAAATGTTGATAGTGAGCTTCACCTTAGATGGATGCCTATGGGAAATCAATCCTGGAAAGATAACCTTACCAGGTGTGAGACCTAAAGGATCTATGTAAGGTCTGTCTTAATAGGGGACCTATAAATGTGATATCACCAAATTGTTGTGTTCAATAATAAATGGGACCAATTAATCAAATGAACAGCTATAACACTTCAGGTAATGACGGCCATCATGAAAATTAGAATCTGGGTATGGTCTACGATGATTAGATCAGACTTCTAGCTAGAACCAAGATATTGTCCATGGGTACACACCCGACCAGGGTAAATACATTTTGTTTACAAAATATCCACATACTCGACTATGGTTCGTCAGTCATGTGCTTCGAATATAGAATGTTATGTTGATAGAACCTATATATACATGTACACATAATCTAAATGTGGGGCATCTGTAGGATACTCTCAATATATTTTTATAAAAAGATATGTATTACATTCCCATACAATACCAATACTATTGCCTGTTTCAAACGCAATTTAAAAAGATAGTGTTTACACTATATTGATGAAAATATAACAAACAACAATGGTGAAAAAAAGACTGGATTTCTTTTCAAGCTGATTTAAATTTACTCTGAGGCATTACCATGCAGTACACACAAGACACCATGCCAACTTGGCTGTGTACCCTAGAGCTCTACAGGAAATCACAGGCCTGAATTGCAGGTTAGGGGTAATAATTACAGGGTATAGATGACTGGTCAAGCCTGGTCAGTGTGAGGCTAGCTACACACACGCCAATATTAAACTCAGCTTAGCGCTGAAAAGTGGGAGTTACACACCGCACACTGGGTTAGGGACAGTGATACTACACTAAGCTTTTGATCTGCTTAGCTGCTCTTGACCTTTCAGTAAATCTCGAGTCTTAACATTCCTCAAATTCAGTGGGTTTCCACCTGAAAGCCTGCTGTGTGTGTAGGCAGTACATACCTGTAAGCTGGTACCTGTTACATTGTGTTAAACTTGTCAAGAATCAATAATCCAAACATTTAGGTACCACACCTACCAAAAGACATACTACGTTGTACCATAATCCACAAAACCATTCAAACCTATCCAGTGAAAGAGGGATGGGGAAGCCGGTACATATAGCCCCTGGGGACAGGATTCGGCAATTACATTTGAACAGAAATGTCTCAAGATGCTGACGGAGAATGTTACAATGGCCAGTGGAAGGAGTGGAGCATCTTTATCTGTTGTCTTCACTAACTAACAATCACTATTGTAATTAACATTCAGTCCGACTTTCCCTCAATCTAATCAGAATTCATTAATATTCAATCAGAATTTAGGAATACTTTAATAATCAAAATTCACTAACACTTAATTAGAAATAACTGCTATTATTCAAAGATACTTCGTTACTCTATTTGTTCTGCAATAAGCCTAAGGGACATACGCAAAAAAATAACATTTAACATGAAATAACATTTGTAGGAATTGGACTGAAACGCTCATTACCAGGCCGGGGCTTATTATCAGATAAATTAAGTAATAGTAAACAAATTCACACATTTTTAATAAAAAGATAACTACAGAATTCATTAATGCAAAACAAAAACTTTCAAGTTTCCAGTAACTCCTGGCTTTCCATTCGTAATAATTAGTGCTCATCTCCTGGCCAAGTCCTTCAATTTGATCTCCCGATATATCAACAATGTCCTACTCTTTTAACAAGAAATTTATAGACCACATTGATCATATACATGTATACCAATCAAGAACACCCAATACAGACTCTTCCTCATCAGCTTCTTTCATTCCTCAATCTTCACTTAACATGACCTTATGAAATACAAGAACGGCCCATATTCATTCAACCATTAACATACTCAAGCATGGATTTTGTGCTCAAGCCTAACTTCTTGTTTCAGTTACCAAAAACAATCTTATTTTGTCAATGATTTTGAAATGACTTGAAGAGACTTAAAGCTAAATACTGTTTCAATGTTAACATTTGACTTTTTTATCGTTTGATATGATTTAAGTGGGCACTACAAGAAAGCTGGTTTTAGCACAGAATTTATGCTTAAACATGAGAATGGTTTCATGAATACGGGTCCTGATATCTGCTCTATGCACTTGCATTGAGGAAGCCAATACGACCCCTATCTGTGTACGCACTGCTGGATAACTCTATTTGACCACCCATACACACACTGTTTGACCAGTATATGCCATGGATAACATGAACTGGAAACAGACAGAATAAAAACACGAAGAAAAGAAAATGGACCCGCTCTTCTGTGGGGTCACAAATCAAGAATACCAAAATACATTACATCTATCTAGAGTTCTACATTGCTATCTACATATACAGTAGAACTCTTCCAGCAAATAGCCCTTGTTCAGATTACTAGAGACCAAACCCCCATTGGGATTCTTAAAATGTAACCTTTAGCTTTATAATCGGCAAGTTATCAAAGTATCGAAGGGAACCATTGTAATCAGACACCTCAAAGTGTGACCTTGAAACAAAACTACACTATGACAACACTAAAGGTCAGTGAAGGTTAGTGAAGGTCGAGCCTGTAAGCTGTGTGCTCACAGCTGGCAGTGAGATAGTGTATCAGTGTTCTATAACAGTGGACTGGAGACCAATTCCGTTGTCTGCAATTTTAAATGATGTAGAAAGTATGAAAGCGTTCACTTCTCCAAGACTATAATTATTTGTTCAGACTCTGACAGATGATGGGTATTTTGTTAAAAGATATATCCTAAAGAACTCAATTCCCTCTGTCCTCCTCAAGAATAGAAAAGACTAAATTCAGTAATGACCAGATAAATGAAGCTTGCGAAGTAAGAGGAGCTTCCGGCTAAACATTTAGAAATTAGAAGGATATCTTATTAGAATTCCAACTGTGGCCCGCATCTTTCATTTCCATTGCAATGCTTAAACAACATATCTTCCACTAATCACTAATGCATATTATTTGATCACATGACCTGCCTGTAACATTATTGATTTACTTCTGTAATCCCCTTCCCCGTTCCGACCCCCACCGCCACCTCCCCCCCACTACCCACACCTCTATACCCAGGCCCAGCAGTGATCAGGGTTAGATCGGAGAAGCACTCCAGCCCATTGACAATCATAGCCCCACTGGGAACGATCCCTCCCAACAAGTGCAGGCCTTTTATTCACCAGCTTGCCACGTAATCAAATCTCGAGTTAGATATTTTTCGAGAATAGATGTATAAATGTAGTTACGAACATGGCCACTAGGTGCTATAACGTTGCCTTGACCCTTTTCAGCCTGAAATTTGTTTCTGAATGGTTTATGTGTTGATAGTAAAATCCATATAAAAGAACTGGTAAGACTCACTACACTAAATTTATCAACCTGTCAATAAGCTATACCTTGAACGTGAGTGCTCCAAATTCTTCTGTAATCACTTAACAAGTTGTCTTTAAAAATCACAAAAAGTCATTTTCAAACTTATTTAAAAAAAACCTTCAGCAATGAAAGTTATTTCCAACTAAATTAAATTAGCATCAGGAGTCATTTTCAAAAACAACAACATAGGTATGTAATTCTGTAAATGTGTTTCTTGTTGTTAAGCTTAATCAGACTTGAAATTTAACAATGAACGGTCCGTGTGATCTTACCCGGAACCAGTCATTCTACAACTGATTAAATATATTTTTTCCACCTAATTTGAAATTTTGAAATACTCTTTTTCTTTTTCTGGTCAAAAGTTGATCTGGAAACCCTAGTTTTTGTTTTAAATTTCAGTTAGAAAACTCTGAATGCTTCCTGAAAAATTTCCATAAAAATGTTGTAAAGTGCTAGCTAAACTAATCAAGCCAAACTGAGACGAGCCTATAGATCATCGGACTGTCTCGTAAGCATCACGTATAGGGACCAGTAATGTCAAAGAGGTACTGTGGTGACACTACCTCGTCAACGCTTTCATAGAATTACTGCATACACATACAAACTTAAGTGTTGTATTTTCTGAAGGAGAAACTGATAAATGTTCCAATTGCACATTTAAGATGGCCGTTTTATATATTTGTTCAAACAGATATCGGTGAAGTCTGTGTTTTAGTGTTCCTTGGATCCACATAAAAAATGTGCTTATAGTTCATATTTGAATACCAACTTTTGCTGGGAACCAAATAATGCAATGTAAGCATTTGAATATGTGTTGTTTTTAAATTTCTCAGTTCTGTGTAATTACTGTATTTATCCTGTAATAAGCCTCTGAAGCCAACACTTGCACTATAACACAGAAGTAGGGGATGGGCTTATTTAATATTACGAAACAATGACATAACATTTTTTTGGGGGGGTTCTGCAGTGTAATGAACATTGGTGGGCTTATTTCCTAAGTGATGGTTTACCGGCAGATTTGATAGATAAAAGCCAAAAGTTTGTAATCTAAAAGTGGAGATCATGACAATTAAGTTTTCCAAGTTCTTTAAATGTCATACATTCTAAAATAAAACAACAACTGAAAAACAAGTTATCCATAATGTTGATGGAGATTCAAAGTTCAGTTTTCCAAGTTTGGAACATGGCATATCTCTACACCTTTACTACAACTGTCTATAAAGACCTAGGAAATAGGACATGTCTCCAGGACAGTCTTCCAAAGTTTGGAATATTATTTCTCATCATCTCTAAAAGTAGAAAGATTCTGATACGAGTCAGATGATCACATGACCAATCTCCATGGTAACCACTTACCCATCACTGTCCTGGTAGTTAATGCCACCTTTCTTACTGGATCCCAAAAGTTCTGAAAATATATCAATTACAAAAATTAGATTGACACATATTAACATGATGATGTAAACATATGAATGTTTATCAGAATGAGGACTATATACTTTTGTAAACAGATTCATTTAGCACAACCAGTAAAATGTTAACACATATGTGTGATGTTTCAACTAGTACAATATGTACTCGGAAAATAAATTGGATAGTCTAGATCTGTTTATGTCATGGCCAGGTATGTTGTTTGAGGACACATTTGTCTTAGCAAAGTCACCCTACTCATCATTTACCTGGTACTGAGCATGCCCAGTACCTTTATTACGGTATGTCACATATACGGTACATTTTGTGATAGTTGCCTCAATGAAGTGATATTAAGTGATAACAACAGAATTGAATTACATAGATAATATAACAGGGTAAACGATGCATCAAGAAAATTTTATAATAACCGAAAATTAACAATAAGTGACGTGATAACTGATGGGATATTAAGTGAAATGCCCTGCATATGTTTCGTTTCCTTTGCCTCACTAGCACAGTCCTTATCTACCTGTACTTTATGCCTAGGTATAGGATGTAATAATGGTACAGATCTACAGTGTTCTTTGCCCATTTATGACCTTGGTACGGTACGAACAAAACATGATTCACATTGTTCATTGTCTCGCATATCTGAAACTTAACAGAAGAACGTTGAAAAAACCCAAAATGAACCCCAGATTATTTACCCCTTTCTTGAGCTATTATTTAATTGACTGAGATCGCTAGATCTAGAGCCCCACTGTCATTCAATTTCAGCAAATCTACTTTCTTTTGTCTTGCAGATCCTTTGTGCCAAATTTGAATGAATAATGATTGAGAAGAAGTAGAAAAAATGAAAACTTGACATAAAATGGATTACACAGACAATGGAGTTTTAATGATAAACATAGCTCACTTGAGCCTCGGCTCAGCCTGAGCCGATAAAACGCATGACCTTTACTTAAGAACTTCATTCCATTCATACCAACATCGCCATAGAAACGAAACGGTGTCAAGATAGAAGCAAGTTGGAGGATGTTGGGTGATATAACTGTACAGATGCTTGAAACCTTCTGCAGAACACAAGTTGTCATTAACATGCTTTGTGCTTAGAATACTGAATAATTTAGACCATGTCATTCTCGATTTTCTGTAAAAGGCTGTGACATGATCTTATACTATAGATAACATTTTCAAAGTTCTTATTCATCCCATGGAAAATTTGATTGGTTTAACAAGTGATAGACAACTTTTCCAAGGTCCTGTGATCATGATCACGCGTCAAGATTAGAAAGATTTTTTTTCTTTTTCAATTTGTAGAACATACATGTAAATTACTGCACGCATATGCACTTCAACAAGTTCCAACCTGAGGAAGTTCACTTTTTTCTAACAACTCACTCGGGTGCATTCAAGTGCTTTGTATTTTGTTTTTGAATTTTAACACATCTTCCATGTTTTCCTTTAAATAGATCCTGATCATTTACAGTCAATCCTCAATCGAGGCCATCCCACACGAGTCTATATGTAGTTTCCTTTCTATCCTGATCTTACATTGATAGCCAGTGTTTCGGGAATAGTACTTGTTCACCTCTTTCATTACTTAAAATTGCACCAATTCTAGCTGTTTCACTATTCACCCACTTTAAGCTAGGAATGAAGGAGGCAGACCAAACATGACCCAACAGTAACTTTCTTTCTTTTGAAAATTTTAAGCCCGATAATTTGAGAATAACCTGAAAGTATCTTTATATATGGATTTTGCAAATGGTTGTTATCCAAAATGATCAAAAATACGGGTTAATTTAAAATAATTTCAAAGCCCAAGCTTATCAAAAGTAAAACAGATTTGTAATTTTTTTATTATCTTCAACAGATATACGTACTAAAGGAATATGTTATCCTTTATTACTAATAATTACAGAAATGAATCCAAACCTCCTGGTCCAGTAGATAGGATTAATGTTATATGTTACCCGACACATTATATCTGTGATTTATGTTAGAGTTACCTCCCTTGAATTCCTTTCAATTAGTTGAGAATTATATATACCTGAGTGTAATCAAGGTAAGTATTCTTGTACATCTTTAAAATTTGTCATAAATTAATTAAACAAGTTTAAATTACTGGTCATAAAGACGTGTTTTAGTGTAAAATATGGACCTCCATCGTAAGGGAGGTAACTATCACAGGAAGGCAGCATACTTCTTTAAGACAATAATTTTGTCCCAAATATATTTCAAAAACATTTTTTTTTTTGCTAAATTGCGTTTACATTTTTTTGTGTATTTGTTTTATCATTATGAGCTCAAGGTATACTGTACAATCATATAATGCCACTATTTTAATTCACTTTTGAATGTGGATAATAATCTCCAAAACACAAGCTTTTTATACAGTGTAAGTCATTATTGTAATGATTTTGTATTACCAGTGTAATACCTTATCTTAGTTATAACTACACAATTTAAATGAATCGTTTTTTTACTTAAGTAAATATTTCCCCCTCCTCTACACTTCTGATATAACAAATATAACAATGTATACATATGCATGTGTTTTTGGGGTGGTCTGTCGACATCTCTTCCCCGTCTTTGATAACCATGAGTCATGTATACACAACTAAACACGCTACTGTTTCCAAGACAAACATGTAAACAATTTAACGTAAGAAGAAACACCATCACTAACCAAAACACTTTAGTATATGATGCGGTTGTATTATACAACTACATCTAACATGTACACTTGCAGGCTTTTTTTGTTTTCCACAAACTACCACACCAATATTGCCTCCAGCCGGTTTTAGCATATAGACGTGTTTTAAAGAGCTCCTGGAATTCTCTTCATCTGCGTATCCGCCATAAAATGGGTATAATTAGGGTATACTAATTGCCTCACCACGGAGAACCATCCCCGAGTTATGTTTGTTTGCATGGAACAAATCTGTACGATAGGGAGAGAAAACTGAAAAATGTTCATATTAATGTGAAATGTTTGTGTATTTTAAGGCAAGGTCCAAAAATAAACCAGTTGTAACATTTTGTTACTTCTATAAATACTCATATTGACACTCCAACTAATTTTTGTTTGTGTACTTTTGTAAATGTTCTGTATATTAATATTACTGTTGTACCATGCCATCTTTATAATTACAAAGTGCTGAAAAATTGAAATTGTTAAAAGGACCTAAAAGAATTCTTATATTATTTATGAAACTTTGTATCATTAATGGAATTTTTATGTTGTATATAGAATTTCTACACAACTAACAGAGGTTTTACATACTTAACTGAAATTTCACAGATTAAGAGAACTATCATATTATATATGTAACTTTTTACATCAGCCAGCTGAGGATCTGTTGGGTCCCTGATCATATCTTTGTGATATAACGGAGTGTAGTATAGGAGTATAATGCTATAGTTTCCTTTGGATATGTGTCAAAGTGTTTATGAAATTGCTTTTATTTTTCTATCATGATCAACATATCCATACAATGCATCATTGCTAGTTACAATCTAAGCACCTCAAGCTCTTCTCTTCAGCAATATACACTACAGCAGTATTCACGTGTACATGTACAAAATGTACATTAATCTAGACATTAATATTCCTAGCTACACAATCCATGGTGACCAAAGATGCAATCCAAGACTGTCTTCAGCCTAGCTGTGTGACAGCAGTAAACAGGTACAGTAATGTACACCAATAACCTAGATGTTAATGTATTCCTTCTTTGCGTATTGCAGAGTTATCTTCTCTTGGGAGCAGGTATTGATTGTTACGTCATTGGTTTGTGTGAGAAAATTACATCGTTTTCTCAAAAATTGATGACGTTACTCTCAAAAACAAGTGATTTAAAAATAAATACCTGCCCCAAAGAGAAGATAACTCTGCAATACGCAAAGACGGAATATAGTGACAATATACAGTACAGCAATATATTGGTCAACAATTTAGACATTAACTCATTCACCCCTACATATTAAAACTGGACTTGCCCAGTCTTTGATTTGGTAAGGTTGAAATGTGACTTTAGGGGTGAAAGGGTTAACATTCCTAGTTAAATTGTACAATGCATGGTGACTTATCCAAACATTTGTTATCCACAGCAAAACAGCATTGCAGTATTGGACACAAATCTAGACAACAAAGCTGCGAATTTCAAAATCATTTCCTAATCCTCTTATCATCAATCAGGAGAATAAGCTATTAGAGTTTCCCATGTCGTATATATTGCTCTGATTGTGCCGGGATCCTCGAGTGCCACAAACTCCCCCTGGTGGCAATGACTGTCATTGTGTTTCCTGAGTTTAGAACAATTGGTGTCCATAAATAAACATAGCATGCTTCAATCCTTCCAGGATCTAAAATGGACCCAAAGGATCTTAATTCCAGCGAAAAGTTTTCATGACAATTTATACTTAGTTTAATTTAAATTTTCCCAATTTTGGACTATTTAAGTATTAACCTACATATGTATTATACCACTGTATGAGTAAATACCTATTCTGGCTATAGTTATAGGCAGATCTTTAGCTTTCTTCTATAATTCATGTATTTCTATTCATTTGCTGGCTCAGCTGGTTTCATGGAAAAATTTACTTTAATCCCGAAGTTTTCTGAAAATTGACTTTAAGTTTGAAATATAGAATGGTGTTACATGTTTTCCTCTCAGCTTAAAGTAAGGGAATAGAGCCAACGTCAGGTGTGGGATTGTGGGTTGACCAAAAACCCACTTATTGGTGACGCCTGAGCATGTTGTAATTATATCCTTTTTCTGTAGGTTTCCTCTTTAATTTTCACTAGTGACAGTTGTATCTAATGGACACCTGGAATGCAATCAAATTAATTTACAAAAGTTATAAATAAATCTTCCTCAAGTGTCAGACCAGGTATACTGTATTCATTCTATTAGTTTCCCATATTCCTATATTGACCGTCACACTTCTTAACCTTAAGTCTGTAAAGAAATGTCACTAAAAAAATTT